GGGGCACCCCTGAACACAAACCGGTCCATGGATCAATTGCTCTGTCAGGAAATTTCTCCTCATTTCCACGCTGGATCTCTCCCCGTTAAGCCTCGACCCACTGCTTCCCGTCCTGCTCCCTGGTGCCCTAGAGTCAAACCCCTCTTTTTTGCTACAGCTCCCCCAAACACTGGAAGACACCCCCCCCCCATCCCTCTCTTGATTGAATATAGCCGGAAGGGACCTTGGAGGTCTTCTAGTCCAGCCCCCTGCTCAAGCAGGAGAACCTATACCATCTCAGACAAGTGACTGTCTGGCCTCTTCTAAAAACTTCCAGTGTTGGAGCATTCACCGCTTCTGCAGGCAAAACTGTTCCACTGGTTAATTGTCCTGTCAGGAAGTTTTTCCTTAATTCCAGGTTGCTTCTCTCCTTGACCAGTTTCCAACCAGTTTCTCGTCCTTCCCTCTGGTGCTCTGGTGAACAACCTGGCCCTCTCTGCCTTGTGGCCGCCCCTCAGATACTGGAACACTGCTATCATGTCACCCCTATTTCTTCTTTTCTTTACACTGGCCAAATCCAAGTCCTGCAGCCGTTCTTCGTATGTTTTAATCTCCAGGCCTTTGATCATCTTAGTTGCTCTTTGAATTTTTCCCAAACTCTCAACATTTTTTTTATGATATGGTGAGCAAAATTGGCTGCAGTATTCCAGGTGTGGTCTTACCAGGATTTTACAAAGCGGTAATAATACTCCGCATTATCTTGATTACATGCCTCTGTTTATACAACCCAGGATTGTTAGATAATGGAGAAGAGCTATTATTTGTCCCTTTACAGAGAACAGGCAACAGACAGCAACTCGTAAAAATTTTTTTTAATGGCAGCTACATAACATTATAGTGTAGATTTCACTTCTTGTAACAAAATAGGGCTATTTGTCACTGGTTACCATTGATGCTTCTTTAAAAAAAATGCAAAACTAAATACATATATATCAAATCCATCATTCCAAATTTAATTATTATCTTCAATACCCAATGCAGAGTCAAGCTGCTTCCCAAAATAGGTAGAATGCAAGTCTCTTAAGTCAGATGGTAGGTTAATGTTAGCTGCAGCAAGCCACAAAAACTTAGATTGAGACCATGGATGTATAATTGGGAAGCCTAGCCAATATCAGCATCATCAAATTTGCTACACCATACTAAAATTGAATCCAGTAATAATAATTACTACACTACTTCTTCACTGAGCATAAAAACAATTTCCTCCATTTCCTTGGAATGTAGCATGGAAAACCCCTAGTTTCTCAACCTTGGCAACTTTTTCAGATGCGTGGACTTCAACTCCCAGAATTCCCCAGCCAGCGTGCTGAGAATTCTGGGAGTTGAAGTCCACACATCTGAAAATGAGAAACACTGCCCTATACTTTTAGACACCCAGAAAATAAAACCTGGGTGGGTGGGTGGGTGGGTGGGAAAGACTTTCTGAAACCTTCAGGTTCATCTTAGGAAACCAAATTCAGTTTTTGGTCCACTGATTTTCAAACTGGGTACCCATGTGTCAAAATATTGGCCACTGATGACAAATTGTTTCTAGGATTCATTTGATCGGCGTTTGTTTCATATACTCAAGCAAAGGGAAACCCTCAAGTTTTACAATTACAAAACATATTTTTGGGAGGGGTTAAAAAAGGCACAACATGGTCGTAGACCGAAGGAAGAAGGCATTGTAAAGTATACAAAAGCTCACTACAGCAGGGGTCCCCATCCTGCAGTCCGTGGCCACTACTGGTCCGTGGCCTACTGGCCACCAGGGCACGAACCATGCTATACACACTCACGCCCACTCGTCCTAGTGCTGCTGCTGCTGTGCAAACGGCTTTGTGCAGCAAAAATAGGGCGTTGCTATGCAAACAGGATGGCACACAGTGTGAAAGCTGGGCAGTGCGCAGCGTGAAAATCGGGGAAAACCGGTCATCGGGCAGTGCGAAAACCTGGCACTGCACGGCGCAAAAATGGAGGGAAACAGGGCAGCGCAAAGCACGCAAATGGGAAAAAACAGGCAGCACACAATTAAAAAAACGGGGGCAAACCGGGCGGTACGTGGCACAAAAAGCAGGCGGCACGGGGTGTGAAAACCGGGTGACACGGCGTGGAAATGGAAGGAAACCAGGTGGTGCACAGCTTGAAAACAGGTGGTATGAAAACTGGGTGGCGCACAGCGTAAAAACGAGAGCAAACTGGGCGGCGCGCAACAGAAAAACCGGGCAGCATGTGACACGAAAACGGGCGTCACGTGGCGCAAAAACCACCTACTGCATTGCACGAAAATAGGGCGATGCTAGCGCCCACGCAGCAAAACCGGCACGGTGCTAGCAAGTGTCACGTGGGCACTAGCACCGTCCTGTTTGCATCGCGCGTGCTCACGGCCCCATTTGTGTGTTTGCGCGCGCACGCAGCAAATGCTTCTCTCACCCTTTCTCTCCGATCCGCCAACTGAGAAAGGTTGGAGACCTCTGCACTGCAGCTCAAACTTGATGTGACACTTACCGTGTCCAAAATGGGTGGTAGTCCTCTACTTACAACCATCTGTTTAGTGACAGTTACAACAGCATGAAAAAAGTAACTTATGACAGATTCTCACATGACTATTGCAGCCTCCCCATGGTCATGTGATCAAAATTTGGGCACTTTGCAACGGGCATGTATTTTTGACGGTTGCAGCGTCCCGGGTTCACATGATTGCCATTTGTAACCTTCCCAGCCGGGGGGCAAGCCACGTTTCCTTAATTTGCACGATTCATTTATGGTTTCACAAATGGTTGTAAAAAGGGGGAAAGCTCACTTAACAACTGCTTTATTTAACAATAGAAATTTTGTGCTCGATTGTGGTCGTAATTCTCGACTTATAACAGTTCCTTTAGTGCCTGTCCGAAGTTACAACCGCACTGAAAAAAATGACTTATAACCATTTTTCACACTTCACCACCATTGCAGCATCCCCAGGGTCAGGTGATTTACATTCAGATACTTGACAACCGGCTCATATTTATGATGGTCGCAGTGTTCCCAGGGGGTCACGTGATCCCCTTTTTATGACATTCTGACAAGCAAAGTCAATGGGGAAGCCAGATTCACTTAACAACCGTATTACTAATTTAACAACGGCATAATAAATGCGGCAAGGAAAGTTGTAAAACGGGATAAAACTCACTTAACAAATTTTTCACTTAGCAACATAAATTCTGGATTCAATGGAGGTTGTATGTCGAGGTCTGCCTGTAGTGTGTTTTATTTGATTCCCAGATGCGATCAGAATCCAATCTGAATTGGGAACCAATGCAGAGAATTCCATCCGGACCTTGAAAAAACATAGGAAGGGTTTTAACTTCCTACTCCCAATCTGTGGTAGGGCCTCCGTCTAGACAAGGGTAGGCAACCTTGGCTCTTTTATGACTCGTGGACTTCAACTCCCAGAATTCCCTGAGCCAACCATGCTGAGGGGAAAGGGAGAGGTTTCCAAGCTGAGCCATGCTGGCTCAGGAATTCTGGGAGTTGAAGTCCAGGAGTCACAAAAGAGCCAAGGTTGCCTACCCCTATCTTAGGACGAAGATTAAGAGCAGGGGTCCTCAAACTTGCCCCTTTTATGATTTGTGGACTTCAACTCCCAGAATTCCTGAACCAGCCATGCTGAGGGGAAAGGGAGAGGTTTCCAAGTTGAGCCATGCTGGCTCAGGAATTCTGGGAGTTGAAATCCACCAGTCATAAAAGAGCCAAGGTTGCCTACCCCTGCCCTAGACTGGGCCCAGCAGCAAAGAACAACAGAATTGTGCAACTGTCACCTCACTCTTTTGGCGGGAACACAATCTCTTAATTAAAAGCAGTGACAGAGGACAGCGGTCGAGTCAACCGCAATGGCCTTTTTTTGCATTATTGCTGAATTGTACGTGATCCCTTGCATGGAATCAAAAGGCAGGACCCAAAGCATATAATCAGGGCCCACCGCAGCGTTCATTATGTAAACAATACGGACTGGAGGGCATCTCATTAAAAAACAGTGAGCACCGCTCCTCTAAACAAGATATATTTATACATTTCAGAAAAGGTAGGAGAGATGCATGCCTACGTCTTTGTGAGTAATAACAGACCTGGGATCCTTTTCTGCCCTTCTGGGGTTTACAAGCAGTCCTCAAATTACCACTGTTACTTTAGTGACTGTTCAAAGTTACAACAGCACTGGAAAGAGGGACCAATGACCACTTTTTATCCTTATGATCGCTGCAGCATCTCCATGGTCACGTGATCAAAATTTGGACACTAGAGGCAACCGACTCATATTTATGACGGTTGCAGTGTCTTGGGGTCATTTTGCAACCTTTGGACAAGCAAAGTCAATGGGAAAGGTAGACTAACTCAACAACCGTGTCACTAATTTGACAACTGCGGTGATTGGCTTAAGAACTGGGGCGAGAAAGGTTGTAAAGGGGAACAAAACTCACTTAACAACTCTCTTGCTTAAGCGACAGAAATTTTAGACTCAATTGGGGTTGTGAGTTGAAGACTACCCGTGCCATCTTTAAAGGAAGCCCTTGTCTTAAATGAAAAAGAAACAAATTAAAAAGAGGGGACCACTTAGGAGTGCCAAATGCCAGAAGGAAGATTTCCTTCGCTGGCATCTGAAGGACAGATTCAATGGGTTGCCATGGAAATGTTCTGCTGAAATGCATAGCAGGCTGGGGTAAACTAGATGCTAAATCGGCCCCAAGGCTATATCAAACTTCTTACGTTTTAATTTGGTTTCAAGCAGTGGTTCTCAACCTGTGGGTCGGGACCCCACTTGGGGTCGAACGACCATTTCACGGGGGTTGCCAAACAACGCAGTCCGCCATTTTTTCCCCCCTTTTCCTTAGCTGTGCTACTCCCTTTTATTTTACTGGCTTTTGAAAGCCAATAGAATAGACTCTCTTGAATAGAGTCTAATTCTATTGGCTTTCAAAAGCCAATAGGAATTGTCCAAGCTGTCTCTGCCCTGCTGAGCCCACCAAAAGTCCCATTCTGCAAACGGTGCTGCACCAGTTGAGTAGTCCTCGACTTACGACCGGTTGGGGGGTCGCGGCATTAAAAAGGTTGAGAACCACTGGTTTAAAGGATGTCAGTCATTCTGAAATTTTGATATCCTCCGAGTGGACGAAAAAGAAAAAAACGTTTTCCAAAACACGTCAAAACGTTTTGATTGGCACTTGGGATTCTTCTCTTGCTGGTTCCTCTCGTGAGAAATATACTTCTTTGTACAAATGAATACAACGCACTAATTTTGGCAGAGGGGCGGGAAAAGATCAAGAAGGGGGCCTTGGCTGCTCTCTGAGCTTAGTGGTTTTCTTGCGGACCTTTCACTACCCAGCTAGGTAACATCATCAGTCAAAGGGAACGCCTCCATTTTTGTTGGCTGCTACTTCTTCTACAAGACAATTTACAGAGAATTGTCTCATTTGAGCTTTCGCCAATCAGAAGGCCGCTGCGCATCTCACAGAGTCTTTGGGCACCCTGGGAAACAGGGGCGGGGGGTCACTTGTGGATCCCTTCCTCACCCACCCTCTGGCCCCTAAGAGCAGGGGTCCCCAACCCCCGATCCATAGACCACTACCGGGCCATGGCATGGCAGCAACCGGTCCGCACAAACAAGCAAAATCCCATCCACAGGATGCTGCCAGTATACAAAACCACGCACCCTCCAGTCCGCGGAAAAACCTCTCTCCACGGAACCGGTCCCTGGTGCCCAAAAGGTTGGGGACCTCTGCCTAAGAGTGCAACCGACGGACGTGCTTCAGGAGGTTGGATTTGTGATTGAAAGACCTGGCGCAATGCTTGCAGCTGAAGGCAGGGTACTTCTGATGGGTGCGCTGGTGCTGCAGGAAGGTGGAGCGGTGGGTGAAGGTCTTGGCACACTGGTCGCAGCGGTGGGGACGCTCGCCCGTGTGGACCCGCTCGTGCTCTTTGACCGAGGCTTCCCACTTGAAGCGCCGGCTGCAGTGGGAGCAGGCAAAGGGCTTCTCCTGGGTGTGGATCCGCAGGTGCTTCACCAGGCAGGAGGTGCGCTTGAACCGCTTGGGACACAGGTGGCAGGGGAAGGGGGCCTCGTCCGAATGCACCTTGCTGTGCTTGTCCAGGTCGGCCTGCAGCTTGAACTGCTTCCCGCAGATCCGGCAGCGGAAGGGCCGGATGGCCGAGTGCACCAGGCGGTGCTTAATGAGGTCGGCGCCCCGGACAAAGGTCTTCTGGCAACGCTTGCACTGGTACGGGCGCTCGCCCGTGTGGATGCGCTGGTGTTCGCGGAAATTGGACTGGTGCTTGATGTCCTTCCCGCAGATGTCGCAGTGGTGGAGCTGTAGGTCGGGGACAGCTGCGGGCGGACATCTCTTTGGCTTCCAAACGGCTCTCTTCCACCTTTTCCGCAGCCGGGTTTTGGGAGGGCTGAGTCGGGGGTCCATGAATCGCCTGGGGAAGCAGAACAAAAGGCCGCAGTTGCAACCAAAATCTCTGTGGACTTGCTCAAAGGTGCCTTTTCAAGAGGCAACTGGACTGTCTTGTTTTTCTTTCAAGACATTTCGCTTTTCATCCAAGAAACATCTTCAGCTCTGACTGGATAGTGGGGAATGGGAGGATTTATACTCCTTAGAGACAGCTGGTCATTTGCCTTCTTTTAGAGTCATTGAGCCCACCTAGAGGCTTATCTGTATCCTCAGGGTCACCTGAGTGGGGCAAATGAGTGTGGAGCCTTCTTGGAAGTGTTGAAAGCATTCTGTTGTAAACTGGAGGTAGATGTTGTCATATCCCTCCCCCTCTGTTGAGAGAGGGCTGTTCAAATCCATCAGGACAAGATTCAGCAGCCCATCTGCATTTGAAAGACGAAAGCCATTCTTTCGGAAGACAGCAAAGTCCACATTTTGGACAGAGAGGACCGCTGCTTTGAAAGAGGGATCAAAGAGGCCATCCATGTCAAAATTGAACAGCCCTCCCTCAACAGAGAGGGAGGGATACAACATCATCCATCTCCAGTCTACAACACAGTCCTTTCAACACTTCCAAGAAGGCTCCACACCCATTTGCCTCACTCAGGTGACCCTGGAGACACAGATAAGCCTCCAGGTGGCCTCAACGACTCTCTAAAACAGTGGTTCTCAACCTTTTTAATGCCGCGACTCCCAACTGGTCGTAAGTGGAGGAGTACTCAACCAGTCATAAGTCGAGGACTACTCAACTGGTGCAGCACCGTTTGCAGAATGGGAATTTTGGCGGGCTCAGCAGGGCAGAGACAGCCTGGACAATTCCTATTGGCTTTTGAAAGCCAATAGAATTAGACTCTATTCAAGAGAGTCTATTCTATTGGCTTTCAAAAGCCAATAGAATAAAAGGGAGTAGCACAGCTAAGGAAAAGGGGGGAAAAATGGCGGACTGCGTTGTTTGGCGACCCCCGTGAAATGGTCGTTTGACCCCAAATGGGGTCCCAACCCACAGGTTGAGAACCACTGCTCTAAAAGAAGGCAAATGACCGGCTGTCTGCAAGGAGTATAAATCCTTCTATTGCCCACCATCCAGTCAGAACTGAAGAAGCTTCTCGGATGAAAAGTGAAATGTTTTTCAAGGAGAAACAAAGGAAGTCCAGTTGCCTCTTGAAAAAGCACCTTTGGAACAACCATGACCTGGATAACTGAGAATCTCCATGGACACTTTGTGGACTGGATTAACATTAGCAGGTACATGTTCACCAAAAGTGGAGTGAGCGAATAGGGATAGTCCTTGACTTACAACCTTTCATTTAATGACCGTCTGAAGTTACAACGGCACTGGAAAAAAGCGACTTTTAGAACCATTTTTTGCACGACAATTGCAACATCCCCCATGGCCACACGATCAAAATTGGGACGCTTGTCAACTGGCATGTATTTATGTCGGCTGTAGTATCCTGAAGTCATGCTGTCACCTTTTGTGATCTTCTGACAAGCAAAGTCAATAGGGGAAGCTGGGTTCATTTAACAACGGTGTTACTAACAACTGCAGCGATTCACTTAACAAATGTGATAAGAAGGGTCGTAAAATGGAGCAAAACTCACTTAAAGTGTCTTGCTTAGCAAGAGAAAGTTGGGAGGTCAGTTGCAGTCGTAAGTTGAGGACAATCTGTAAAGGCACGCAAAGGCAAACAGCTGCCTTTGTATGACTTGATAAGCCCAAGATGACAGAATGCAATTCAGCTAACATCCGTGTATCAAAAAAAAACAAAAAAACCACCTCACAGTGTGTCTTACCTCAGCAGCATCATTCATGCAGGCAGTCCTCACAACTATTGGTTTAAACCAGGGGTCTTCAAACTTGGCCCTTTTATGACTTGTGGACTTCGACTCCCAGAATTCCTCAGCCAGCGTGCCTGGCTGAGGAATTCTGGGAGTTGAAGTCCACAAGTCATAAAAGGGCCAAGTTTGAAGACCCCTGGTTTAAATGGCCATTCAAAGTTACAATTGCACTGAATAAAGTGACTTATGACTATCATGGCATTTGTCTGTGCATTTCTCTATGGCAGCCCCATTTCCTGCATTCTGGTTATCCAGAGGTAGCCAATCATACAGTAGAGTAGAGTAGAATAGAATAAGAATAGAGTAGAGTAAAATTGAGTAGAATAGAATATAGAATAGAAGAATAGAGTAGAGCAGAGCAGAACAGAATAGAAAAGAAAATAGAAAAGAAAATAGAATAAGAATAGAACAGAAAATAGAATAGAGTAGTGCAGAGTAGAATAGAACATAGAATAGAACAGAACAGAATAGAACAAAATAGAATAGAACTGGAAGGAACTTGGAGGTCTTCTAGTCCAGCCCCCTGCTCAAGCAGGAGAATCTATACCATCTCGTACAAGTGGCTGTCCAGTCTCTTCTTAAAAATTTCCAGTGATGGAGCACCCACGATTTCTGGTGGCAAGCTGTTCCACTGGTTAATTGTCCTGACTGTCAGGAAGTTTCTCCTTGATTCCAGGTCGCTTCTCTCTTTGATCAGTTTCCAACCACTGTTTCTCGTCCTTCCCTCCGGTGAACAACCTGGCCCCCTCTGCCTTGTGGCAGCCCCTCAGATACTGGAACACGGCTATCGTGTCTCTCCTATTTCTTCTTTTCTTTAGACCAGTGTTTTCCAAACTTGACAATTTTAAGACATGAGGACTTCAACTCCCAGAATTCCACAGCCAGCAACGCTGGCTGTGGAATTCTGGGAGCTGAAGTCCACATGCCTTAAAATTGTCAAGTTTGGGAAACACTGCTTTAGACCAGCCAAACCCAAGTCCCACAGCCATTCTTCGTGTGTTTTAGCCTCCAGGCCTTTGTGCCCTGGATCATTTTTTTTTTTTTCAGAAGCTGCTGATCTCTAACTTCCCTGCAAGGGGCCACTGAGCCTCTCTCCTGCACCTCTATTTTATCAAAAGTCTCTTTTGCAGTAAGAGAAAGAGATGACGGTCGAAAAACGGTACCCCATCCCACAGTCCCCAAATACGTACCAACTCTCCCGAGACCAAATGGTTAGGGAAAATATTCCGTGACCTAGAAATGAAGACACCAACATGGAAAGAGAAGGTTTATGGCTGTGGATCGGTGTCACAGGAACAAAACGCCAGCGTCAGGAAACACCCCCCCCCCAAATGGATTTGCTTACAGTTTATTGCCTGCACCTATGTATTCATTTTTCGGGGCCTGCCATTCTGTTGGGAGGGGGGCTTGTTTGTTGGGGAACGTAATTGCCTTGCTCTGCTTTGTTACCCTCCCTCCGTGTGAAAGGAACATGGTCTGAAAACATCTGTCTTATCTCCAGACAATGGAGCCTGGGACTGTTGGGAAATGAAAACCATGTCGGAAGAATCAACATTTATGCCAACAGAAAGTCCCTAAAAGTTTGCATTTCACATGCGAGCCTTAATTATCTCCTTCACTGAAAATACATACCCTAAATTTGACTTTATTCAAAAAGCAAACCAAATGTATGTCTTTTAGGACACTACACAATGAAAGACCCAGTTCAGTATTCAGCAATGGAAAGAAAAGGGGTGTTTCCTTTCCAGACTTGTAAATAGTTCCCTAGGGACATAAACAATTGTTTCCAACCAAGTAAGAATCACTTTAAAACATGTTCAGCTGAAGCTGAACATAATCATCACAGCATGAATTCTTGCAGGAACTAAGCTCTGCATGCAGAGATCATTCATTTCATCTATACCAGGGGTAGGCAACCTTGGCTCTTTTATGACTCGTGGACTTCAACTCCCAGAATTCCTGAGCCAGCCATGCTGAGGGGAAAGGGAGAAGTTTCCATGCTGAGCCATGTTGGCTCGGGAATTCTGAGAGTTGAAGTCCATGAGTCACGAAACAGCCAAGGTTGCCTACCCCTGATCTACACATTGCAATGTTTTTAGAACTGCTTTGGATTCTAGCGGAGAATTCTGAAACAGATATGGGTTGTCTTTGTTATTGGTGGGTTCAATATCTGCTAATTCACTGACGCCCTGAAGTATAAATCCTAAATCCATATTTCCTAGTTCTTTGCAGACACACACTGACTCGCTAGCGCAGTGGTTCTCAACCTTTTTAATGCCGCGACCCCAACCGGTCGTAAGTCGAGGACTACTCAACCGGTCGTAAGTCGAGGACTACTCAACTGGTACAGCACCGTTTGCAGAATGGGACTTTTGGCAGGCTCAGCAGGGCAGAGACAGCCTGGACAATTCCTATTGGCTTATGAAAGCCAACAGAATTAGACTCTATTCAAGAGAGTCTATTCTATTGGCTTTCAAAAGCCAATAGAATAAAAGGGAGTAGCACAGCTAAGGAAAAGGGGGAAAAAAATGGTGGACTGCATTGTTTGGCGACCCCCGTGAAATGGTCGTTCGACCCCAAATGGGGTCCCGACCCACAGGTTGAGAACCACTGCGCTAGCGGATAAACTGTAACCCTAAATCAATACTTCCTAGTTCTTTGCAGACATGCACAGAGGGGCAAAATTTTTGAGCTGACACTCTGCATGTTTTCTCTCTTTACAAAGCCCTAGTACAGAGGTAGGCAACCTTGGCTCTTTTATGACGCGTGGACTTCAACTCCCAGAATTCCTAAGCCAGCATGGCTCAGCTTGGAAACCTCTCCCTTTCCCCTCAGCATGGCTGGTTCAGGAATTCTGGGAGTTGAAGTCCACGAGTCATAAAAGAGCCAAGGTTGCCTACCCCTGATCTAATAAGACCATCCCTGGAATACTGCAGCCTATTTTGGTCACCATATCACAAAATAGATGTTGAGAGTTTGATGATGATTGTGGTGGTAGTGGTAGTGATGATGATATTGGCTAAGCTTCCCAATTATACATCCATGGTCTCAACCTAAGTTTTTGTGGCTAGCTGCAGCTAACATTAACCTACCATCTGACTTAGAGACTTGCATTCCACCTATTTTGGAAAGAAACTTGACTCCGCATTGGGTATTGAAGATAATTAAATTTGGAATGATGGATTTGATATATATGTATTTAGTTTTGCACTTTTTTTAAAGAAGCGTCAATGGTAACCAGTGATAAATAGCCCTATTTTGTTACAAGAAATGAAATCTAGACTAAAATGTATGTAAATTCCATTTAAAAAAATTACGAGTTGCTGTCTGTTGCCTGTTCTCTATATAGGGACAAATAATAGCTCTTCTCCATTATCTAACAATCCTGGGTTGTATAAACAGAAGCATAGAATCAAGATTGCATAAAGGATTAGTACCGCTTTATAAAACCCTAGTAAGACCACACCTGGAATACTGCAGCCAATGTTAGTCACCATATCACAAAAAAGATGCTGAGAGTTTGGAAAAAATTCAGAGAAGAGCAACTAAGATGATCAAAGGCCTGGAGACCAAAACGTACGAAGAACGGCTGCGGGACTTGGATTTGGCTAGTCTAAAGAAAATAAGAAATAGGGGTGACATGATAGCAGTGTTCCAGTATCTGAGGGGCGGCCACAAGGCAGAGGGGGCCAGGTTGTTCACCAGAGCACCAGAGGGAAGGACGAGAAACAATGGTTGGAAGCTGATCAAAGAGAGAAGCAACCTGGAATTAAGGAGAAACTTCCTGACAGTGAGGACAATCAACCAGTGGAACAGCTTATCCCCAGAAATTGTGGGCACTCCATCACTGGAAGTTGTTAAGCAGAGACTAGACAGTCACTTGTCTGAGATTGTATAGGTTCTCCTGCTTGAGCAGGGGGCTGGACTAGAAGACCTCCAAAGTCCAAGGTCCCTTCTAGCTCTATTCTATTCTACATATATGCTGGTTGCCAAGTGCCCAAGTTTTGATTATGTGGGAATGGTGCAGTGGTCTAAGTGCAAGGATAGCTTGCAAGTCAGATTTTTCAATGCAGCTGTAACTTCAAGCGGTCACTAATGGCTGTTAAGGACTGCCTGTATTTAAAAGCCTGGAAAAGAAAAAAATCTGAACTTAAGCTTGGAGGCAGAGCTTTAAAACGGTAAGAAACAGCTCAGATTGCATTGGATTAATCCAGTGTTTCTCAACCTAGCCAACGTTAAGCGGTATGGACTTCAACTCCCAGAATTCCCCCTTGTTGGCTGGGGGATTCTGGGAGTTGAAGTCCATATCGCTTAACGTTGGCTAGTTTGAGAAACACTGAATTAAGCTATACTGTAATTTCCCCAACGGAAGACTAACAGTTCCAATTCTTATCTGAAACTCTCTAGGCTTTTATCATTAGCATTTTTCAAAGATGACACTACCATTTTTAACACAGCAGTCTAGGCCTCTTTTCTAACTGTAGGAAAGAATGTTTTTCTTCTTAGCTAAGGCCATTTCTTTTGATATGTGAGAACTTGCCTTTTCAGTCAGTAAACAATAGTGTAAGTATTCCAAAAGTCCTTGAATACACTTGCAAGTCTAAACCCTTGGGGGGGAGAGAGAGCTGCGGAAAGAATAACAGAATCCATAAATTTTCCACTTGTGGAATGTTATCTAGAGTTAATGTTTCCTGTTGTTCAAGTCTCACATGAACTCAACGTGTTTTGTTGTTTAATCTTTTGCTGTCTGACGCATATATTCAATGTATCTTTTGTTTCTCTATCCCCAAATAGGGCAGGGGTAGGCAACCTTGGCTCCTGAGCCAGCATGGTTCAGCTTGGAAACCTCTCTCTGTCCCTTCCTGGCTCAGGTATTCTGGGAGTTGAAGTCCACAGTCATAAAAGAGCCAAGGTTTAAAGACCCCTGCTCTTAATCTTTGTCCTAGGATAGGAGTAGGCAACCTTGACTCTTTTATGACTCGTGGACTTCAACTCCCAGAATTCCTGAGCCAGCCATACTGAGAGGAAAGGGAGAAGTTTCCAAGCTGAGCCATGCTGGCTCAGGAATTCTGGGAGTTGAAGTCCACGAGTCATAAAAGACGAGGTTGCCTACCTCTGGGCTAGGCTCTTACTGGAACCCTATTTCATATTTATTTATTATTATTTATTAAATTTGTTTGCTGCCCATCTCGCTACAAGGCGCCTCTGGGCGGCCTACAATGTCAAAACTCTGTTAGGAAATCGCAAATATGTTTTTTAAAAGTCAACTGGACATTGGTTTTTCTTTGAAAACATTTCGCTTTTCATCCAAGAAGCTTCTTCAGTTCTGACTGAATGGTGGAAGCTGGGAGGATTTATATTCCTTGCAATCATTGTTAGCCCTCTGAAAGTTGTTAGTTAACTAGAGTTTCCTTCCTTCCTCCCTCCATTTTTATACATTTTTCCATACTAAGAGTTAACTCTAACAGCCGATCTTCAGAGTGCTAACGATCAGATGACAGCAAAGAATATACAGGTAATCCTCGACGTACGACTACAATTGAGCCCAAATTTTCTGCTGCTAAGCGAGACAGTTGCTAAGTGAGTTTTGTCCCTTTTTACAATCTTTCTTGCCACAGTTGTTAAGTGAATTGCTGTAGTTGTTAAGTTAGGAACATGGTTCTTAAGCAAATCTGGCTTCCCCATGGATTTTGCTTATCAGAAGGTTGCCAAAGGGGATCATGTGACCCCGGGACACTGCAGCCATCATAAATAGAATCAGTCACCAACTCTGAATTTTGATCACATGACCATGGGGATGTTGCAAAGGTCGTAAGTATGAAAAGCGATCATAAGTCACTTTTTTCAATGCCATTGTAACTTCAAACGGACACCAAACGAACTGTTGTAAATCCTGTTAATCCTTCCATTCCTCACCAGTGAGTCAGAACTGAAGAAGCTTATTGAATGAGAAGTGAAACGTCTGCAAGGAAAAAAAAGTCCAGTTGCCTTTTGAAAAAGCACCTTAAGGGGGGCAACCATGACCTGGATGACTGAGAATCTACATGGACATATCCTTTAGGCATGTTGATGGTTCAATGCATGGCGGGGATTCTGAAGAAAAGATGAACACCAGGTTCCACGTGTCCCGTGTGAATGAAGCCGTTGGACCTGGAGGACAAAATGAAGGTGGAGTACTACTTGGAGATGTCAAATGATTCTTCCAAAGGTCTATGGAGATGTTCAGTCATCCTGGTCATGGTTGTCCCAAAGGTGCTTTTTAAAGAGGCAATGGGACTTTCTTGTTTTTCTTTGAAGACGTTTCGCTTCTCATCCAAGAAGCTTCTTCAGCTCTGGCTGGATGGTGGGGAATGGAAGGATTTATAGTCCTTGAAGACAGCTGGTCATTTGCCTTCTTTTAGAGCAGGGGTCTTCAAACGTGGCTCTTTTATGACTTGTGGACTTCAACTCCCAGAATTCCTCAGCCAGGCACGCTGGCTGAGAAATTCTGGGAGTTGAAGTCCACAAGTCATAAAAGGGCCACGTTTGAAGACCCCTGTTTTAGAGGGTCGTTGGGGCCACTTGGAGGTGTCCTCAGCGTCACCTGAGTGAGTGCAAATGGGTGTGGAGCTTTCTTGGCTGCAGGATATTTTCTGTCTTGTGTCCCTTCACTGCTGAAGTCCCTTCACTGTTGGACACAGGTAAACCTCCAAGTGGCCTCCAACGACCCTCTAAAAGGATGCAAATGACCAGCTGTCTGTAAGGAGTATAAATCTCTCCATTCCCCACCATCCAGTCAGAGCTGAAGAAGCTTCTTGGATGAGAAGCGAAACGTCTTCAAAGAAAAAACAAGAAAGTCTATCTGTTTCTTGAAAAAAGCACATTCGGGACTCTCCAAATTTCTGCCAATTTCTTCGGGGAGGGAAGGAAGAAGACTCTTGCAGCGCAACCCTCCAGCCCAGCAACCTCACCTACTTTCCGGGCATCCAAGCGCTCCTGAAGCTGTTATCCCCGTTTTCAGGACTGCCGCATTGAGTTTTCCACCTCTCTCTCTCTTTCTCTTTCTTTCTCTCTCTCTCTCTCTCTCTCTCTCTCTTAACTCTCGCGAGACGTCCTTCGCAAAGGCAGCCGACACGGGAAGAGGGTAAACGTGGAGACGGCGAAGCTAGATGGGAAAATACGCACGTAGAGTTCCCGATGAAACATCCGGGTTTAGAGACGTTAGAAGAGCCCTAGAGCGGTTTGATTTCGGAAATGGAAATGCCTCTGCGCTTCCGGTAAAGACGGAAACAAGGATGCCCTCAATTTTGCTCTATGGAGGGTGTCTTCAAACTTGGCCCTTTTATGACTGTGGACTTCAACTCCCAGAATTCCTCAGCCAGGCACGCTGGCTCAAGAACTCTGGGAGTTGAAGTCCACAAGTCATTAAAAGGGCCAGGTTTTAAGACCCCGCTCTATGACTATAAGGGGCCACTCTAGCCTCTTATTATCACTATGGCTGAATCGCTTGGGACGCTTTCAGAATGAAGGGGCGCTTTCGCCTCTCTTAGGTGGGGAATGGCAGTAAGTTTGGAACGCGCCTTCTTTGATCCCGTTCAAAATTAACCCCCCTTTTTTGCTGGTTTAGAAGCCATAAGACAGTGGTCTCGGCGCAGATTCATGACCTCATACCGGTCTCTGGTTGGCTACCAGGAAAAATTATAGATGGCGCTCCCGGGGAGGGAAGGAGCGTCGAAAATGGGGGCCCTCACTTAAGATGGCGGTCGAACGGACCTCAGTCGGGATGGCAGCCTGCGAGAAACAGTGCCCTCAACCAAAATGGCGGCCAACGAGAAGAGGCGCTCGTCCCCTGCGGCGGCGGCGGCACCAGCCGGGACAGATCAGAGCCGGTCGGCCTTGTCAGCGAACGGCGTCGCCGAAGGCGAGGCGGAATTCCTCCTGCAGTCCGGCGTGACCGACATGGTGCGAGAGGCTCTCCTAAAAGTGCTCGAAGCCCGGCCTGAAAAACCCGTCGATTTCCTGGCCGGCTACTTCGAGAAGCTGATGCAGAGTAGCCCAGAGACGGCGACGGAGGCCTTGTCGGACGGCGGGGACCGCCAGCGCCAGCTGAGTCTCGACCGGGCCTTGTGGTATCTGGGCCTGGCCCACCATTCTCACAGGTGGGCGCGAAGAGTCCCGCATGCGAGGGGCAGAACTACGATCCCCAACGATGCAACGGGGCGACCCCGCCCGCGGGGCTCATTGGGAAATGTAGTTTTTCTTTAAAGCGGCCAAGCATGGAGCTGGGGGGGGCGTGGGAGGCACAGCAAGGACATGGAAATAACGATTGTACTGAGCCAGGAACTTTGACTGCATTTTAATTGTCGGTTTGGGCTAAACTTGGGTGCCCCGGAGGTCCATCTGGAGCAGTGGTTCTCAACCTTTTTAATGCCACGACCCCCAGCCGGTCGTAAGTCAAGGACTACTCAACCGGTCGTAAGTCAAGGACTACTCAACTGGTGCAGCACCATTTGCAGAATGGGACTTTTGCCGGGCTCAGCAGGGCAGAGACAGCCTGGACAATTCCTATTGGCTTTTGAAAGCCAATAGAATTAGACTCTATTCAAGAGAGTCTATTCTATTGGCTTTCAAAGCCAATAGAATAAAAGGGAGTAGCACAGCTAAGGAAAAGGGGGAAAAAATGGCGGACTGCGTTGTTTGGCGACCCCCGTGAAATGGTCGTTCGACCCCAAATGGGGTCCCGACCCACAGGTTGAGAACCACTGATCTGGAGTCTGGTAGGCTACAAATCTCGGATGTTGTAGCCCATTTTGGCCAATTTAAATCCTCCATCAGACTAGCCCTGGGATAGGCAACCTTGGTTCTTTTATGACTCGTGGACTTCATCTCCCAGAATTCCTCAGCCAGCATGGCTCAGCTTGGAAACCTCTCTCTTTCCCCTCAGCGTGGCTGGCTCAGGAATTCTGGGAGTTGAAGTCCACGAGTTATAAAAGAGCCAAGGTTGCCTACCTCTGTAGCCAGTCATTCTACATATCTGATGAAGTGAGGGTTCATCTCACAAAAGCTGGTGCCGTTAATAAAATGTGTTATTCAGAAAAGATGCTACCACACCCCCTCCTGATTTTTTTTTTTTTTTTGCTACCAGCTCTCTTCCTACGAAGCACAATGATTCACCCATTTTACAATTATACTGCATATGTTACAAAACATTATTTAAAATAATGTATGGTTTCAATCACATGGTTAATCATAAAGAATTGCAGTATAATCAGCTAAAAGTATTACATCTTAATAAATGAGGAAACGGGAAGCATAGTCAGTGACTAAGGACATTTTACTTCAATTTTCAATATGCTAAATATTTGGGTATAAAGGGGAAATATTACATCAACCACTCAAGACTGTTAGATGGTTTTTATGTTTAAAATTCTAAAAGAAGCACGAGGAAAAGTGAAGAAAGAAAAGAGAACTAGATTTATTAACAAAGAAAATTTACAGAATAAAATATCTTGCTTTTGCATCTTACAGGAAAAGCTAAAGATTAGAGTTGGAAGAAATTCAATAGAATTTGTTAGCTGTAATCCAGAAATATTCCCCTTCATCTCACCATTTGCATAAACACCAGTATCCTTCGATGAAGTACAGTATTTTATGAACCATGATCCAGGGTTTCTGTGAATAATATTAATTTTTATTGATAGCCACCTCTCCAGATTAAATCATAGCTAATTTCTTTAATCTTCTGCTTTTTACTTGAATTACTTTTGGCCAAAGCCGAGTCACAAATATGTCTACTCCAAGCATATTTTTCTTGGCACGACGCAAATGAAATGTGTTTTCCCTGGGCAGTCTCCCATTTTTTAATGTGTAGAAATAACAATTAAAATAATTCTACCATATGTTAATGTATGAATAAAACAAAATATAAGACTTTTGTCAGCTGACATTGTTAGTTGTCACATAAAGTAAGCATAATTGATCAGAATCATGGGACGCATAGAAAAGCTCAGCAAAGCTTATGCCATTTTCTAAAGTTAAAACTAAAATTAAGTTCACAATTTCTTTGCTTTTCCCAGTTAAAATTAAATTGCCCTGCATTGCATTACATACAGGGGTCTTCAAACTTGGCCCTTTTATGACTTGTGGACTTTAACTCCCAGAATTCTTCAGCCAGCGTGCCTGGCTGAGGAATTCTGGGAGTTGAAGTCCACAAGTCATAAAAACCAAGTTTGAAGACCCCTGCATTACAAAAAACACTGTGTGAGAAAAGCAGTAACAATAACTATAATCATTATACAACTTGAAACCTTTTCATCGATAGTGTGTGTTTAAAATATTTAGTTTCCAACCATTTCAAACTCAAAACACCTCAATTTGAGTCTGAAATATCTCTTTATTAGGTACAAGAATGGCTGTCTGGAGTGTTTGGGAAATTTTCTTCGAAAATACAGGAAATAGTTGTTAGGCAACTTTCAAGCACCCCCAAACCCTTTTTTGACTTTTGACTTAAAAATGGCTGAAACAACTGGCTGAGGAATTCTGGGAGTTGAAGTCCACAAGTCAAAAAAGGGCCAAGTTTGAAGACCCCCTGCTTTAGGCCTTTGTAGCTCCGAGGGCTTTGAGACCATCCCTTAATATTGTTCATTTCACCCCACCCCCTCTTCCATCAGGACAGCCTTTAACAACAACGTCCACTCCGCCTACGATGCCCTCGGTGCTGGAGTCGAGGGCAAGAAAGCCGGCATGGATGGGAAGACCTACAGCGAGCTGCTGCGACTGCTGTGCCAAGACCGGGGGGCCTCCGACGAGACCTTGCAGCCCCTCCTGCAGAAGGTCTCTTGCCGGGACCACGAAGTGGTGCCCTTCGACATCTTCCGTTACGGGGTCCTCACCTGCCTGATCCTTCTGGAGTTCCTGGCCAAGGCCGACGGCCTTTACGATGCCCTCGACAATGGCTCGGGCGCCGCCGACAAAAGGGTCTGCACGGCCGTGCTGGGCACGCTGGAGGATGCTCTCCACCTAGCCGACGTCTCTCCTCCCATCCGTTGCTTGGAGGCCGGATCCAAGCTCAGGCCGGACTGCTTGGCGATGGCTATGGACCGGGCGCTGTTGGAGAGGAAGGCCAGCGCGGCCATGAAGAAGGACGAGTTTCTCAAGAGGGCTTCGTCCATCTTTGTGACAAAAGTGAAGTCGATTCACTGAGAGGTGTGGTTCCCTTGACTTTCCTGAGCAGTAGCTATGGGGTGCAATTGGACACTGGCTTGGTCTGCTTTGGGGGTGCAGGCAAGGAGGAGAATTGGCTTTTGTTTCTACTATTCAGCAAGGCTGCTCCCCTCTAAGGCAGGGGTGGGGAGCTGTGGCCCCCTTAAGGCCCAGTGGACTTCAACTCCCAGAATTCCCCAACCAGTCATGCTGGCTAGGGCATTCTGGGAGTTGAAGTCCAACAGTCCTTAAAGGGGTCATAGCTCCCTATCCCTACTCTGTATGCCCAAAGTCTGGACCCCCCCTTGTTATTTGTTGACTTATTTATTACGGGTTCTTATTTATTTACTTGTTCACTTCCTGATTAGATGCCCTTCAAGAGCTCAAGGCAACAGCTGGAGCACTGCCTCCTCCACAGCGACAATTTCATAAGGTCGATTAGGTCGGGAGAGACAGGCTGGCCCAGTCCCCCAGGGAGCTGATGAAGATTAAGGGGGATCTTTTGCAGCAGGGACTTCCCCCACCAAGTCCTTGGGCATTCACAGTCCGGGGGGTGGATGGGTGTTTGAGTCTAGGATTAGATCTGTGTATTCTGACATAAGAGGAAGGAGCAATGGACCGGGACGAGCAGAGGCGGGTATGATGAGACCCTGGGAGTGGCCTTCATTTGGAACGTCAGCTTCACTGCCTGAAAGCATTGTCCATTGTTCAGCCTTCTACTTTCCCACTCGGCCCTCGGCTGTGGCTGTTGCCTTGGAACGCCCCCGTTGGTGTGCATTAAGGCTGCCCCCTTTGAGAATATTTTCACGGACTAGGCCAGAGGTGTCCAGCCTTGGCAACTTTAAGCCTTGTGGACTTCAGCTCCCAGAATTCCACAGCCATCCAGCATTCCCTAGCATGGCTGGCTAGGGAATTCTGGGAATTGAAGCCCAGGGGTCTTAAAACTGCCAAGCTTGGACACTGCTGGACAAGCTGTGAGCCGTGGGGTCAGCCTTCTTTCCACGTGTAATATAGTCTGGGGCCGTTTCCCCTCCCCACCCAGCCCTCAACCTTGTCCCAATGAAGCTTCCTCTTCACCTGACCCACAGATCTGCCTGTCACTTTGCTGGGGGGGAAGGGAGAACAAAGGGATCTGCTGAGCACACCTCTGTTCCCCATTCTCCATTTCGACATCTCTGCAAGGGGGGAAGAGGGGTTCAACCACCAGCACCCCCAGCCAGTCCTACCTAGCCAGCAGGCATCCGAGCCGCTCCTTCATCCTTTCCTCATCGTCCAGAACCTTAAAAAAAAAAATCAGATTTCAGCTGTGGGTCCAATGCAGCCAATTGCCCCTTACCACCCGCCAATTGGCTGCAGCGGGCAGAGAGAAGTGGGAAAGAGAGCCAGGATATGCCCATGACAATCATATGACCTCAGCTGGACATGGCAGCGCTGAAACAGCTGCAACTTTGCCAAATTTCAATCCCACGGGAGTCCCAGGCTCCAGATTTTGGACTCATTCTGTCAGTTAGCCCCTTTGAGGTAAGTTGGTTCGATTAATTGTTGCCCTAGGACAGGGGTAGGCAACCTTGGCTCTTTTATGACTCGTGGACTTCAACTCCCAGAATTCCTGAGCCGGCATAGCTCAGCTTGGAAACCTCTCCCTTTCCCCTCAGTGTGGCTGGCTCAGGAATTCTGGAAGTTGAAGTCCACCAGTCATGAAGGGGCCGAAGTTTCTCCCATGCTGGCTCAGGAATTCTGGGAGTTGAAGTCCACGAGTCATAAAAGAGCCAAGGTTGCCTACCCCTGCCCTAGGATGCACTCTTTTGCCCAGTTGATGGTTACAAGCAGAGAAACCTGAAAGTTTTAGTAATATATGGATGCAGGTGCCATGTTTAACCAAGACTTGGGTGGGCCCTGAGTGGGGGAGCATCTCTCTCGAAATTATGCCCACCCAGGTTTCAGATTTTGCATCAGCTGAGAGCCCATGAGGGGAGTGGCTGTCCTTGTAGGCCAGGGGTCTTCAAACCTGGCCCTTTTAGGACTTGTGGACTTCAACTCCCAGAATTCCTCAGCCAGCATGTCTGAGGAATTCTGGGAGTTGAAGTCCATGAAGTCATAAAAGGGCCAAGTTTGAAGACCCCTGTTGTAGGCTCTGCCACATATAACTGGATGTGAGACCCACTGATTGAAGTCTAGTTCTATGGAACAGTTGGGATTATTGCTGGTGAACCACTCTCCTTGCAACCCTGCATTGTCTCTACCTGGGCTGCTGGTTTCCGTTGCTGGGCTACTAGTAAAGTCCCTGGGCTGTTGGTACTTAGTCTTCCACCTGGTGACATTGAGCGAAGAGCCACACTGGACTTGGTGGCCTCCGTAGCAGCCATGGATGTGTCCCAAGTGATCCCTGGCCCGACACATCTGGATGGCTGCACATTGGGTCTTGTTTTTGTCTACGGGCAGTTGTGACATCATCTGGTGGTGGAGGACGTGAACATCAGTCCCTTGCCAGGGATAGTTCATTTTCTGGTTCGGTTTTGCTCACCCTGCAGGAACAAATCATCTGGCCCACTTCAAGCAAGTGATGGACTCTATAGGGCAGGGGTGTCCAACCTTGGCAACTTTAAGACCCATGGCTGGCTGGGGAATTCTGGGAGTTGAAGTCCACAGGTCTTAAAGTTGCCTGCTATAGGGTTTTCCTCAAGGATCTGGTGGGCAATTCGGCCCTAGTTGCCATCTGAATTGGGCAGAGGTTTGGGCCTTGGACTATACTGTCCCTATGCGGCTTCTCCTCTGTGCTAATCTTGGATTACCCCTTGGTTTTCTGAGGAGCTAGACATAGAATAATAGAGTTGGAAGGGACCTAGAAGGTCTTCTAGTCCAACCCTCTGCCCGAGTTGGAGACCCTCTATTTCAGACCAGTGACTGTCCAGTTTCTTTTTGAAGGCCTCCAGTGAGGGAGCACTCCCAACTTCTGAAGGCAAGCTATTCCATTGGTTGATTGCTCTCACCATTAGGAAATTCCAGAACGTGCCAGAAGAGACTCTTGGAGTGCTATTGGAAGAAGACTCAAGAGTGAGCCTGATTAAACCTAGATAAGGACCCATATTAGGGACTCCCTTGTGGGTGGAGAAACCTCAGTACTTCTCCATCTTTACTGCATCCACAGATAACTATCCAGTGGCTCTGCTTAGGACAGTGGTTCTCAACCTTTTTAATGCCGCGACCCCCAACCGGTCGTAAGTCGAGGACTACTCAACTGGTGCAGCACCGTTTGCAGAATGGGACTTTTGGCGGGCTCAGCAGGGCAGAGACAGCCTGGACAATTCCTATTGGCTTTTGAAAACCAATAGAATTAGACTCTATTCAATAGAATAAAAGGGAGTAGCACAGCTAAGGAAAAGGGGGGGGGGAAATGGCGGACTGTGTTGTTTGGCGACCCCCGTGAAATGGTCATTCGATCCCAAATGGGGTCCCGACCCACAGGTTGAGAACCACTGGCTTAGGAGGTCCCAGTCCCTGCTTGGATCGGGATAGGCCAGAGGACTATCTACTGGACTGTGAGAAATATTCTAGCTCACCGGTAGATGAAGTCACTCTGCCCCAAGGCTGAGGCGCTTTGAAGCTCGATCTTCTGGGTGTGAACTGAGAAGAGTCTGAGCTGTTGATTCCTGAGGAAATGGACAGGATTCTCTGTGGTGTTACCTCAACCACCCGTCTGCTGGCCCTGGCGTCCCTTGGGCCTTGAAAGTGGCAGGGAGGTTGGGTCCTTGCTGTAGTGTTTTTCACACTGACGGAAGAGGTAGCGCCTCCGACCTTGAAAGTTATGGTGGTTTGCCTCCTCCTCAAGAGGCCATTTTTAGACCCAACACTGTTATTAGATAACCACCACCTGTCTCCTATCTTTGAGAAGATGGTTGGACTGTAGCTGTAGAGAACCTTGGAGGAAGGAGGTTAGGTAGACCTGTTTCAGTGGGATTTAGTATGGGAAAGGGTCAGGGGTAGGCAACCTTGGGCTCTTTTATGACCGATGGACTTCAACTCCCAGAATTCCAGAGCCAGCATGGCTCAGCTTGGAAACCTCTCCCTTTCCCCTCAGCATGGCTGGCTCAGGAATTCTGGGAGTTGAAGTTCACGAATCATGAAAGAGCCAAGGTTGCCTACCGCTGTAAATCTAGCCCAATGCTGAGATATTTCTGAGAAGCAAATCATTCTGTGTGCATGTCGGTCCCAGAGGGATACTGTAAAAGATAGACAGCTGTTTGAGCAGTGCCGCATTTGCAGTAAATATATTTGTCCCCTGGGGAAAACTCCCATTTTTCCATGTGGTCTTTAGTTAAGAAGGATGATTAATAAAAGCATTTAATAAAAAGGATATTGAGATTCTGGAAAGAGTACAGAGAAAAGCAACACGAATGATTAGGGGGCTGGAAGCTGAAACATACGAAGAACGGTTGCTGGAATTGGGTATCTCTAGTCTAATGAAGAGAAGGACAAGGGGTGACATGATAGCAGTGTTCCAATATCTCAGGGGCTGCCCCAAAGAAGAGGGAGCCAAGCTATCCTCCAAAGCGCCTGAAGGCAGGACAAAAAGCAATGGATGGAAATTAACCAAAGAGAGAAGCAACCTAGAACTAAGGAGAAACTTCCTAACAATACTTAATCAGTGGAACGGCTTGCCTCCAGAAGCTGTGGGTGCTCCATCACTGGAGGCTTTTTAAAAGACTGGACAGCCACTTGTCTGGAATGGTATATGGTCTCTTCAAGCAGGGTGATGGACTAGATGACCTCCAAGGTCCCTTCCAACTCTTGTTACTCTGTTGAGTTCTTTCAAACCAATGCACAGTCTAAACATCTACAAACCATCCACTCCTCCACAAACGACTCCTCAAGTGGCTCAATCCAATTAGGAAGCTGGTTTGATTAACGTGCTTCTGGCTGTGATTTAAGATGCTGGTTATAATGTAACTTGGAAAGTCCTAAAGAAGCATACAGACTAGTAATTTGAGGAGCTACCTATCTCTTGTGACATCTGCTTGGCTCTTAGGAACTGTCAGCAGGGCCCACACTTTCCAGGTTCTTTCTATCAAACAATGTCATTTATCAGGACCCTGGAAGCATTTCTTTTCTGCCATGGTCCCTGAATGAGGTGATCCCTAAGATCGATCCGTGTTATCTTCCAGAAAATGTGAAAGTTTTCTTGCAGGCCCTACGCTAGAGCAGGGGTCTTCAAACTTTGCCCCTTTATGACTTGTGGACTTCAACTTCCAGAGGAGTTGGCTGAGGAATTCTGGGAGTTGAAGTTCACAAGTCATAAAAGGGCCAAGTTTGAAGACCCCTACCCTACTTGGTATCTTTAGCAAAGCAACTCCCAGAATTCCCCAGCCAGCACACTGGGCTGGGAGAGAATAATCTTGTCATTAAATACAGCCACCGTCCTATGTTTTTGAGCAGGTCTCCCAACTTTAAGACTTCTGGACTTCGACTTCCAGAATTCCTCAGCCAGCATGCCTGGCTGAGGAATTCTGGGACTTGAAGTCCAAAAGTCATAAAAGGGCCAAGTTTGAAGACCCCTGCACTAGAATGACTGGAGCACACTCTGGAGGTTGAAGGTATATGCTCTTGTGGTGTTGACCAAGTTTGTCCTCATTTCCTTTTTTCTAGTGTGTTTGGAGTTTTTTTCCTCTGTATCATTTCCCTATTTATATTTTTTTAAAATTTTGTTCATTGTATGGGAATCGCCCAGAATCATTCTGGAATCTAGCAACAGCAAATTGAATAAAATAAATAAATCTGTATCATACACTCACACACAATCCCTAGTTCCAGTATCTTCACCAACATCCACCTTACTCTGATTCTTGGGGTGGGAGGGAGGAGCTGGCCCATTGTCAGCAAATGGGTTTCTATGGCTGGGGGTGGACTCGCCACTCCTCCGACTTTCCTACTACATCTGAGTGGTTCTTAGGTTTACAGAGAGGGAATTAGCCCCAAATCAGCCAATGAGCTTCTGTGTGCTTGAGGGGAGACTAGAACCCAGATCTTTCCATTACTAGTCTAGCTACTGAATAAAACAGATTTTTTAAAAAAGGCAAATCTCAAGTTGGTTTTAAAATTATGGTGGTGTTTGATTTGATTTTTTTTTAAAGGCCACAGTAGAAATAATTTCTTTTTCACTGCAAAAGTCTAAATATTCCCTCCTCTAGACTTTTCCAAGCTTCAAGAAGATTTCAGTGCATACAGAAGCAGAATTATTTATCCTCTTTGATCTTTTTTTTTTTTCAAGATTATATTCCTGCCTGCGGTTTAAAATTCTATCTGCTTAATCAAGAATTTGGGGTTCGGTAGCGTTAAGACTCATCCTTTGTTTATCCTCTGGCCAGACACAATTTATATTCTGACATCTAGATCAAACAAAGGGTTTTATCTAGTCAAACAGTCATATGGGCCATTCAGTGTCTCAGTCAGATAAGACCCTACTTTTTCCTCCAATTTTTTCTTACTCTTCTGCAGCCTGTTTAATCTTTTTCTTCAGTTAGAAAAAAATTTGTGCACTGGCAGTGGTTAAAGTGTCTATCGGTAGCACTCTAAAACGGGTCCTCAACCTTGGCAACTTTAAGACTTGTGGACTTCAACTCCCAGAATTCCTTAGCCAGCAAAGCTTTGCTATCTGAGGAATTCTGGGAGTTGAAGGCCACAAATCTTAAAGTTGCCAAGGTTGAGGACCCCTGCTCTAAAACACGTGACGTGGAAAGGAATGATACTGAAATGGGAGAACAAATTAGAATTAGCAAATTCAGCTTTCAGAGACTTACATCTTTTTACTCACTTTGTTGTTAGTTGCGAAGTCGTGTCTGACCCATCGCAACCCCATGGGCAACGTTCCTCAGGCCTTCCTGTCCTCTACCATCTTCTGGAGTCCATTTAACCTCACGCCTGCTGCTTCAGTGACTCCATCCAGCCACCTCCTTCTCTGTCGTCCCCTTCTTCTATTGCCCTCAATCTTTCCCAGCATCAGGCTCTTCTCCAGTGAGTCCTTCCTTCTCATTAGGTGGCCAAAGGACTTGAGTTTCAACTTCAGGATCTGGCCTTCTAAAGAGCAGTCAGGGTTGATCTCCTCTAGGACTGACCGGTTTGATCGCCTTGCAGTCCAGGGGACTCGCAGGAGTCTTCTCCAGCACCATAGTTCAAAGGCCTCAATTCTTTGGCGCTCAGCCTTTCTTGTGGTCCAACTTTCACAGCCATACATTGCAACTGGGAAAACCATGGCCTTGACTATATGTTTTTATTCACTGGGTGCCTTTACAATCTGGACTGCAGTTGATCTTAGGACATTGTGTAAACCCCCCCCTCCCCCAAGTGGGATAATATGGTTAAATGAATTCGGCTTTGAATTTGCTTACAGAAAGTCACAAAAGGTGACCACATGATCCGGGGATACTGCAACTATCAGAAAAACACGCTGGTTCCCAGGTGTCTGAATTTTGATCATGTGATCAACCACAAGGGGATGCTGTAAGAATTATGCAAAAAAAGTCATAAGTCATTTTTTTTTCAGTACTGTTGTAACTTCACGTGGTCCTTGAATGGCTGTAAGCAGTGGTGGGATTCAAACACGTGAACAACTGGTTCTTTGTGTGGATTCCGTTTCTGGAAGTCCCTTCTGGAAAAAATAGTTACCGGTTCTGCTGAATTGGTAGGAACTGGCTGCATCCCACCACTGGTTGTAAGTCAAGGACGGTTAGTGAATTTAAAGGTGGAAAAGGCTTCGCGTCTATGGAGATTCTTCGCCATCCAGGTCACACTTGTCCCAAAGGTGCTTTTCTCGGTTTTTCTCAAGAAGCTTCTTGGTTGAAAAGTGAGACTTCCAAGAAAAAACAAGGAAGCCGTTGGAGGAAAAAGCCCCTTTAGCAAAAAGCTTAGTGCGTTTTGGAGACAGGAAAGTTAACAAGGTTTTGGTTTTGCAAGTGTAGATCCCCCCAATAGGTCTGAATAAACGACCCGGGTCAGGAAAATGTGGCAAAGTCAGCTGATCGTTGCCTGAAACGCACCAGCCCAGAGGCACAAGATGTGATGACGCACAGCAGCTTAATAAAACCAGTTTAAAAAAAAGGAATTATTGCATTCTCGCTGAGGCTCCTTAGTTGTAATCTGGCTTGTAGCCTTTTGCGGCACAAAAACCATATAAATAAAATAGTTCAGCTATTCTCAGGCGGGTTTGGTGAGCATTGCCAACTATATGACACAAACGCCTGTGATACACCTTGTGATACACCTATTGCACACGCGGGACACGTGGTTGCCGTCCGGTGCTGAGAAAGTCTAAATAAACAACTCGGACGGGCCGACAACCGACAACAACTTTCTCCCGAGGGGTGTGCGTGCTCTACCCCCTGCCCCCCTTGCTGTCGGGAATTGTAGTCCAACACAAGCGGACTCACGTGGGCTGGAGGAGGCTACGTGAAAGGCACTTTTCTCAAAGGTTGCTGGGAGATGTAGTTCTTTCCACGCCCTCCGGACCGCCCTCTCCGGAAATCCGCCTCTCATTGGCGGTTGCGGGTAGAGGAAGGCGGATCTGGCGGCGGTTTTTCCCCCCTCCCTCCCATAAAGAACTACGCGTCCCAGGGAGCACCGCGCGCGCGCTCTCTGTTGTCGTGCCGCCGCCTTTCCGTGGTGCGGTTGTTCGTGGCTCTCTTTCGGGTCCGCAGCGCTTCCGTTCTTTCTCCTTGCCTTGGACCGGCCCAGCGCTCTTTTTTCCCCCACCCGCTTCCCCCGTCCTCGTCCGCGGTCGGCGCATTCACGCGAGTCCCCGGCTTCGCTCGAGGCCTACGTCCCTTTCCGCCTCCTCCGTCAGGCGGTGACATGGCGCGGCTGTCTGTGCCCAGCTCGCAGAAGGCCCTGCTGCTGGAGCTGAAAGGGCTTCAGGAGGAGCCCGTGGAGGGCTTCCGAGTCAGCCTGGTGGACGAGGGGGACCTCTACAACTGGGAGGTGGCCATCTTCGGGCCTCCCAATACGCATTACGAGGGTGGCTATTTCAAGGTAAGGAGAGGGGCTGCCTTTGGGGGGTGGCTGTTTGGGAGGACACCCTCCTCTGTTAGTGGTTCTAAAATGGGAGGCTGGATTATAGCTCGCATTATCCCCGGCCAGGTAAGGATAACCAGGTAAACCAAGTCCAGACACCTTATTTTGAGATGGCAGAGATTACGGTGGATCAGGTGAACACATGTCTGTGAAGCAGGGCAGGAGGAAAGGGGTGAAGCACAAAATGGGGCACCAGGAAACGGCAGCCTCAAAGCATCTCCCAAGCGGCCAGTTCCAACAGGAGAAAAACCAGGAGGTTAAAAAAAAAAAGATCAAAGGGAAAAAGAGGCCAGCTGGGGGAAAGTATCCTGGAAATCTCAGTGTGAACCTTCCAGCTTAGGATGATACCCGCCCTCCTGGGTCCCATCTGAGCCTGAGAAAATAGAGGGACTTTCTTTCCAAGTAGACCCATAACCAGGCGACACGCTATAAATCCCTCGGTCTAGAAGTAAACAAAGGCACCGCAGTCCTGGCTTGGTTCCTGCTTGAAATCCCACCAAACTGGATAGATCCAAAACCCTATTCTGGGAAATGGAGCTTCTCGGAATGAATCTTGCCCCGGGTGTCCAATTACCTTCTGCTAAACATGTGCACAATTTTTGTTGGCTCCTGCTCATTTTTTTAAGTTGGATTAAATCGGCCCTTGTCAACATAAGCACTTTTCAGAGGCAGGAGGATTTTTGTTGTGGTGTTGGCCAGAATTACTGTATAAGCCTTTGGTTGTTTTTTCCCTCCCCCCCCCCTTTTCCAGATTTTTTTGCTGGCTAATGCTCATTTTTTGCGTTGAATTAAATTGGGGATGGTCCTGGTCACCGTTAGAGCACTTTTCATATGTACAAGGATTTTGTATCAGCCAGAATTACTGTACAAGCCTTTTGTTTCCCCTCACTTTTCTGAATTTATACTTCTGCTTAAAGGAGTTGTGGTGATAAAGAATAGCATGAGCAAGTGTGTGTGTGTGTGTTCACATCCCCATTTCCTGTTTATCGGATTGTTTTCCAGATGTGTGGGTTATAGTAGCTACAGGAATGAGAATTGATAGATTGAGGGAATAATGTTGAGGAAGATTGAAAAAGTTTGCCTATTTAAAACTCCCCTCTCCTCCCCTTTCTGTAAAATAATTTAAATTACTTGAGTCATTTTGGATTATTGCAGTTTCTCCCAATAATACTAGAAAATGTGTAGGAAACCCTTTTCACCTCTTACCCACTCCCAGTTTCATTTCTCCTCAAAGCACAATTCCTTTGAGGAGGGACAAATTCTCAATCTTTCACTTACAGGTCTTCAGAATAATAAATCAGTGAATTTATTATTGTGAATTGATGGGACTTTTCTTGTATAACCTTAATATTGATATTTATTGTTTTTAGATCTTGTTTATGGTTTTTATTGTTAGCCATCTTGAACATGGGCTTGCTCTGAACCCTGTTTTCAGGATCCCCCTTCCACTGTATATAAAATTTCAGCCCTTTGCTTTCCACAAAGCAGTATCAGATTTTCATAGCATTTATGCCGAATTTCTGATTCCTTTAGAGCAGTGTTTCCCAAACTTGACAATTTTAAGACATGTTGCTGGCTGTGGAATTCTGGGAGTTGAAGTCCACATGCCTTAAAATTGTCAAGTTTGGGAAACACTGCTTTAGAGGAACCAGAATGACAGTCTCTGATTACTTCAAATTAAATTTAAGATTTTTAAAACACAATGCAAAGCTGCTTTATTAGCAACCACATTGAGATAATTATTAATTTTGGACACCTTTTAATGGGTGTCCTGGTTCATTCTGCTTGTGGTTTACATCCTTTAAAGAGTAGGGACATCCTTTAAAGGACAGAGGTTCTTGCCTCAGTGGGGTAATGAATATGGTAGAAATTACAGCAGGAGGAAGAACTCACAAATGACTTCATGGACAAGTCTGAGTAATTTTCTTGGCGCCCTGCCTGACGACTTCTTGGGTCTATCTAAGATAAAACCTGGGATTTCCATTTCATTCCCCATCCAAGTACAGGTAGTCCTCAACTTACAACACTTCATTTAGTGACCGTTCAAAGTTACAACACCACTGGAAAAATGTGACTTACGACCATTTTTCACACCTACAATCATTGCAGCATTCCCATGATCAAAATTCAGACACTTGGCAACTAGTTCATATTTATGATGGTTCCAATGTCCTGGATGTGTGTGTGTGTGTCATGATCCCCTTTTGCAACCTGACAAGCAAAGTCAATGGAGAAGACAGATTCACTTAATAACCAGATTACTAGCTTAACAACTGCAGTAAGTCACTTAACAACCTGTGGCAAGAAAGGTTGTAAAATGGGGCAAAATTCACTTAACAAATGTTTCGCTTAGCAGCATAAATTTTGGGCTCCATTGTGGTCGTAAGTTGAGGACTACCTGTACTAGCTATGTCCAGTCCTATGTCAGCCAATGTCAACTAGGTGCCGCCAGTGCTATGGCACTCTAGCTGCTAACAGTAGAAAAAAAATCGGTATTTAGAACAAACCCAAATGGTATTTCTAGACAATAGTTCCCCGGAACCCCAACTTTTGATTTAGAAAGGATTTGTAGATTGGGAGGGAAAATGATAGAATGACTATGGCAAAAGAAAACAAACATAGTACTGACTGTAATAGGTGCCTTGGGTGCAATCCCAAAACAACTGGAGCACCACTTGAACCCCATCAGCTTTAACAAAATCCCCATCGGTCAATTGCGAAAGGCAATTTTATTTGGAACAGCATACATCCTGGGATGATAACCTTTGCACCAATCAACAAGAACATTTGCCCATCCTAGGTCCTTGGAAGGACTTGATAAGTGAATAAAAATGCCACATCCGGTGTAAACCTCTGGCTGAGAATAAATTGGACAGTCACCTGTCTGAGATGGTGTAGGTCCGCCTGCTTGAGCAGGGGGCTGGACTATAAGACCTCCAAGGTCCCTTCCAGCTTCTATTCTGTTCTATTCTATTCTACTCTACTCTATTCCATTCCACTCCACTCCACTCCATTCTATTCTATTCTATTGTCTGAAATGGTATAGGGTTTCCTGCCTGAGCAGGAAGTTGGACTAGAAGACCTCCAACGTCCCTTCCAACTCTGTTATTCTGACTGTATGATAAACCTTAATAATAACAACAGCCCAAAAAACATCACATCCTGTGCTTTGATACTGAATTATAGTATGTTGAAGTGTAGCCCATGAGTCGAGAGGGCATTAGGCTGGTGAAGGTTGCACCAGCAATGCATATAAAGTGATCTTTTTTTTCATTATGGACAGTCCTCGACTTGCAACAGTTCATTTAGTGACCATCTGAAGTTACAACGGCGCTTAAAAAAAAGTGACTCGTGACCATTTTTCACACTTAAAGACCATCGCAGCAACCCCATGGTCACATGATCAAAATCTGGACGCTTGGCAATGGGTTCATCTTTATGACCGTTGCAGTGTCCTGGGGTCAGGTTATCCCTTTTTTCGACTTTCTGACGAGCAAAATCAATGAATCCAGATTCACTTAACAACCGTGGCAAGAAAAATGGTTAAATTGGGGCAATTTCACTTCACAAACGTTTCACTTGGCGACATAAATGTCGGGCTCAATTGTGGGTTGTAACTCAAGGACCACGGGTACTAGGGTAGTTTGGTAAGAAGGCTAGAATCATGAGTAAGTGAAGCTTTATTTCCTGGGTAAACAATAAGTTATAGATAAATCTAGGCCAGGGGTAGGTATGACTCGTGGACTTCAACTCCCAGAATTCCTGAGCCAGCACAGCTCAGCTTGGAAACCTCTCCCTTTCCCCTCAGCGTGGTTGGCTCAGGAATTCTGGGAGTTGAAGTCCACCAGTCATAAAAGAGCCAAGGTTGCCTACCCCTGATCTAGGGGAAGTGAAATACAGACTCTTCCGCTGAATAAAATCTAACTTGGGAGGGTTTGTAAGCTTATGTCGCAATTCCCTACTTCCTGCCACGGTCTCATTTCCTTGCTCCCAGGCCTAGGTGGAGTTGTGGATGAGTCACCCCCAAAGTCAGTTGTGATCGACTTATAAAGGCAGCTGCTGTTTTCCCTCAACTGTCTCAGTTTAAGCCTCGGGGCACGCAGTAACCTGTGGTGATCCGATAGGTATCATGATGGCTTCTCCCATTTGGCTGGGCAAGGAAGGTACCTGTAGTATTTCAGTTCTTTCGCCTGCTTTAAAGAGCATTCAGAGATCCCGATGAGGTAAGCCAGGAATATCATCCTGGTGTAACAGGGAAGAAGGCTGAAACTAAGCCGTAATTTCACCCGAGGTCATCTAAACGATCTGACACTTGTTGCAGATCAATGTCTTTATTATAACCAATATAACCAGCCCCAAAGATGTACAAAACTGCACACAGGGATGGGTGTTTGGTAGTTAGGGCACCAGGCTAGAAAGTGGGAGACCGTGAGTTATAGTGGCAGCTTAGACATGAAAGTCAGGTGGGTGACTTTGGACCAATCACCAGGAGACTGGGAAATCTAGTTCCATCATAGGGATGAAAGCCAGCTGGGTGACCTTTGCCCGATCCCCAGGCGATGGGGAGTTCTAGTCCTGCCTTAAGCATGAAAACCAGCTGGGTGACCTTAGGCCAGTTGCCAGGCGATGGGGAGTTCTAATCCTGCCTTAAGTATGAAAGCCTTAAGTTGAAGTCCACGAGTCATAAAAGGGCGAAGTTTGAAGACCCCTGCTCTAAAGATACAAACCAGTAGTTCCACCAGATGTAGAGTTGGTTTATAGCAGGAGTGGGGAACTTTGGCTCTTTTATGCCTCGTGGACTTCAGCTCCCAGAATTCCTGAGCCAACATGGCTCAGCTTGGAAACCTCTCTCTTTCCCCTCAGGATGGCTGGCTCAGGAATTCTGGGAGTTGAAGCCCACAAGTCATAAAACAGCCAAGGTTGTCTACCCCTGTCCTAGTCCCAATTGTAGTTGTAAG